GCTGGAAAGATAAATACCAGGTCTATATTCTGAAAGCATAAGTAACAGTGTGTGTAGCTCTAACTGCTCAGAGGATCAGGGCCAGAGCGAGCTTGTTGTTTAAACACGTGAGCTTGTAAAGCATTACTTTGCTTACTGAACTGTAAATCTTTTAACTAACCTAATCTAAGCTATAATAACAGCACAACAGTGGCTTTAAAATGACTGTTTTCTCTACAGCACTGAAGAGGGGACAGCTTCAGTGTGTGTGTGTGTGTGTGTGTGTGTGTGTGTGTGTGTGTCCAGCAGGAATGAACAGGTGTAAATAAGAGCTGAATTTGGTCCATCTGTTTACAAAGATGACAGGTGTGTGTCTGCACATATGTGTCTGTATACAGATATGCATGTGCCTCCATATGTTTACATGTGTGCGTAGGCATAGATTTATCTTTAAATTCTGTCACTCTGCTTGCCATATTTATTTTTTTTTTCTCTGTTTCCAGCAAGAGGAAGCTCAGCTTCTCGTATTACATTAATGTAGTTGTGATGACAGGCATTTCTGGTGTCATAATTGGTTTTAAATTCCAGTAATCCATTTCAAATAGTTAAATAAAATCTGTGTGTTCAGTTGAAATGGCTAAAGCCAGAACTTTCGCTATTGATATCACAGGAAATAGTCTTGAGGGCAAAAATGTGAGTGAAATCAAAATAACTATTAGTATCATCAAAGGGACTTGAATCCAGTCTCACTGTACCTTTATGTAGGAGATGAGAGAGAGTATTTTTGTAATATCTGTATCCCACAGTGGGTCTCATAAGCCGAGCTGCTCCTGCACACTGGGTACAGGGCATGGCCAGATGGTCTCAGAAGGTCGATGTGGTGCTTCCCAAGAGTGCTCCTGCCCTGCCCAGTGCCCTGTGAGCCCAGCTGGGCTGTGGCCTGTGTATGCAGCAGGGTCAGTTCGGGGGTTTTGGCCACAGCAACTAACTCAGGCAAGAGCTGAGGGTTTATTTAGGTCAGAAGGGGCAGCCCACAACAACTCCTGATCCCAACACGCTCTGTTGAGGTGCCACGTCTTGAGGGACAGTCTTTACACAACATTGGAGATAATTAAAGGTCAGAAATTCACTAAATAAACTTCAACAAACATATTTGGAATTTCTTAACAATCTCAAATTTGATTTGTGGTTCATTTTGTAAACATTTGTTAACTACAGAGAACATTGTGCTTCTGTTCCCAACACGAGAGATGGCAAAACATCCTGTGCTTGTCTTATATGAGAGATCAGGATCATGAAAATAATGTGATAGACTATATCCTTAAAAATTGAAAGCTAGATGTTTTCCCTATCATGGAGCATCAAAGTAGCACTTATAAATTGACATTTACAGATTTTTTATTTTTGAATTCCTTGACACCAAGATGGGTACCGTGAACTGCAGGAGCCTCACTGGGGAATGAAAACCCCTTACCCCACCTGGTGTCACCCTGTCTGGCCATAGATCTAGACAGGGATGATGGATAAAGAGGGAGAGAATGAAATTGCTAATTTTTTTGAGAAATTAGGCAAATTAGATTGAGTTATCTAATTCATAGTGGAATGATGGATGAGGATGTGTTTTGTTTCTGTCTTGCATGTGGAAGATGAGATTTTGGTAGATTTTGCTTTGAAAGAGCTAAGGGATACCAAGAGTGATTTCTGTGAAAGCTGAACAGTAGCAAGGTCCCTGTGTTCAGAGAAGCTGTAACTGGGCATGGCAGAAGGAGAAATTTCACAGGCCAGTACTTTCAGTGCCATGGTTATACTCTACAATGACACCAAGCTGGAGTGAGGAAAAGAGGAGACGACTTAGAGCCAGAGGAAGGAACAGGCCTGCAAGAAGCAGGGGCAGATGAGGGGGAAAATGCAGTTTAAGTGAAGAATGCACCTTGAGATTGTGGTAGCTGGATCCCAGAAACTGCATGGCTGGTCAGAGTAGGCGGCATTCAGAGCTGGTTGTTGCTCACTAAGCAGAGGCTTTGCTGACCTTTCTGCATATTTAATCAAAAATGTTTAACATTTCCCATGCCAAAAGAGCCATGTGGAGGAGTTAGGCTCCTCTGACTTGATCCAAAATTATTAGTCTTTAAATGAGAAATTATGGATTTGATATTCTTCTATTTTATTTTCTTTCACTTATTCTCTCTATAGTCTACATAATATATTTCTGTATGATTCTAGGAGACAGGAAATAGCAAAAAGGAAAAATTGGAAAACTTACCATGTTCCAGCTACAACTGCTGTTGTTACTTTATTAAAGTTATATTTGAAAAAGAGGCACAGAATAACTAAAATCTCAACCACAACTCCCCTCCCCAGTCCAAATAACCATGCATTTGAACTGATGCTTAGGGTTAAACATCAGAATTAATAAATTCCACTGGGATCTGTCAGGATTTCCAAACTTCGATAGAGCATAAAATGCTAAAATTAACTGCCCAAACCTTTCTGAGCATGTAAAAGCACCAGGTCCTGTTGAGATCAGCTGGAAAAATATGAAATTTAGACTGCATTTTTGAAGCTGTTATAGAATAATAATTCACAAAGACCTTTCTAAACCTTCTTCAATGTATGTGTGTGTCAGCACATGCTATGCATTTCTGGAATTGTCATGTTCTTGTTTGCCAACATGCCTTGTTTAACCATGGTGGGAAGAAATAACACTCCTGGTTATGTGGAATCCAGACAAAAAGTCGATTCAGATTTTGGGGTTTTCTCTCATGTTGTTATTTGGGAGAGTATTTGTTATTTTTTTAAGAAGTACATAGGCAGATATTCAAAATCTCGGTTAACTTCAGGCAATGGCAGACCTAAAGACCATAAGTCTTAAGTTGTTTAATTAATCCTTTTGAACATGAAACTTGGTTTGTTCCAAAAGTTAAGCAAACTTAAATAAAAAAAAAAAAAAAAAAAGTTGTTTGTGTGTACCCACATTTTGAATGATTGTGGTCTTGGGTGAACACACATGGCTTGCTTGATTATGTTCTCCTCTACATATGGAAATCAGACACTGTGAGCTAACCTTAATTGGAGTTCTTTTATATACTTGATTTCTTTAATATTTTAATAAATAATAACATTGACAGCATGCAAATAATGGGTCCCCAACATGTGACCTAATTCGGGGGACTGTTAAATTTCAAAAAAAATTTGCTATATATATATAGGCAAAATTAGGTAGCTCATGTTCTTTTTTTAATATACATGAATATAACTCTTTCCTGTACTTCTGACAAGATCTGCATTGTGTCACAACCTCAGTCATCCTGTCAGGACCAGAGAGGTCTCCCCTCAAAGACCTCCCATGCTTTTTTTTTAGGCCCTGATCCTGCAAATACTTAATCATGTGTGGAACTTTGCTTTCAAGAGTCACCCTTTGAAGTCTACTGGACTGCTCCCACGAGCACAATTACATGCATTTTAAGTATGTGCCAGGTCTGGACCTTGAATTGTCTATCAAGTGGCCACTGTGAAGCTGTGTGAGGAATGGTGTCCACCCAGGGTGTGCCTGGAGCCTCTGTAGAAGACACAGGGAGAAAAATGCTTTTGGCTAAAGCCAAAGAGAGGGTTGACCAAATTAATTTTTAAAGAACCTATAGAATTCAGTAGTTTTGTGAGTGAATAAAGTGTCAAATCACTCCACTGAACAACAAAAATCTTAATTGTGGTCTAATATAACCTTATAGCATCATATAGTTTATGAATTAGTTATGTGAAACTTTATATTTTAAACAGAATTTTATAGATACATTATATCTGTGTAGAGTAGAGAAGTGGCAAGGATGGATTATTGTGGACAATTATGCAGACCAGAACAGAGCACTTGTGTTTAACAAACAGCTTTGAATTCTAATTTCCTGCAATATACATAGTGTAGCTACAGTTTGTAGTCATTACTGTGTATTAGGAAAGTTATTAGAATTCTTAAACTTGTTGAGGCTTTCCACAACACCTTCCCCAGATTTTAATTGGTTTTATCTAGTTCCATAAGAGAGCTCTTTAAAACAAATCAAAGTGTCTTAAATCACATGTCTTACCCATCGAAGGACAGAGATATTCCTTCTGTAATCTGGCAAGTTTTCCTAGGAACAGAAATCTGAAGGTTCTCAAGGATGAATTAAAAGACTTGGCAGAAGATAATTTATGTGCCTTTTGATGGGCTCAGTTTCAAAATGACAAAATAACAATGTTTTGTAACAGAAGGGTTAAATCTTAATCTCAGAGGTTTACAAAGCTGCTAGTCGCAGTCTCCTTAAAATTTAATATACCTCGTTAATGCTTACTTGCAAACACTGAAGGATTTTTATGATTATAATCATGTGTTACAGCACCTAGTACTGTTTCTAAGCAGCATACTAATCAGCTTAATGAGATATTACTGCACTTTTTGTTGACTAAAGCAAAATCCCTTTTATTGTTCTAAAGCTTGTCCTTTATTTTTTCCCAAAACATTATCTTGTTTTATTGTACACCAGTAAATATCATACCATCCGTTTTTTGCCAAATCATAAAACTATCTTTCTCAATGTAGAATGTGTAATATATTGAATATGGTTAATGGAACCGAAAGTTACAAATGGATTTCTAATTTGGGGGTTTTTTTGCTGGCTTTTTTTATGAAAATGCGAGAGATGCATAAGATTTCTTTTTCTATAGATTTAGAAATGCAGACAGGTGCAGTTTCACAAGAAGGACAAGGGAGGTGGTAAAAGCCTTTACCCCTTCTGTAGTAATTAGATTTTGAAATTGTCGCATATTTTAAAGTAGTAATTAATAGTTCTTGGTACACGTGAAGAATGAGTACATGTATGATCAAAACTGTGTAGCACAGTTGACACTTAATACTCTTTTAATAGTTTTTACACTAATTCCTTTGCATTATTATGAGTAGGTAAAACGTAAAATGCAAATTGTACGCCAGTGATTCAATGCTTGTAACTCTTTCCCAGTCTGAATCTAAAATATCTTCTGATTTTCAGAGATGGAGGAAGCTAGTTTGTGCCTTGGTGTTTCTTCAGCTGTGCCAGAAGCTGACGCCCATCTCAACAGCACCATACTCAATGGGCAATATTCAATGAGTCAGAAGCTGCACCAGATCACTTCCCAGCTCAGCCATGCCTTCCCAGAGCTCCAGAACAGGCAGAACCCCGAGGAGAAGGCGTCAGTGCCACTAGAAGACAAAAGTCACATGTCCATAGCAAACCAGCCCATCAGCAGCCAGATGGCCCTGCTGGCAAACCAGCTCAATAGAGAGGTTGATACCAGCTTGAACGGGCGTGTGGATCTGCAGCAGTTCTTAAATGGACAAAACCTAGGGATCATGTCTCAAATGAGCGACATCGAGGATGACGCCAGGAAAAACCGAAAGTACCCCTGTCCCCTCTGTGGGAAACGCTTTCGGTTTAATAGCATCCTGTCGCTGCACATGCGAACTCACACTGGAGAGAAACCCTTCAAGTGTCCCTACTGTGACCACCGAGCAGCTCAGAAAGGCAACCTGAAGATACACCTGCGTACTCACAAGCTTGGAAACCTTGGCAAAGGTCGTGGGAGGGTGCGAGAAGAAAACAGACTTTTACATGAGCTGGAGGAGAGAGCGATTCTCCGGGACAAGCAGATGAAGAGCAGCCTCTTGCAGCCACGACCCGATGTGAAAGCACAGCAGCACACCCAGCCGATGCCGCTCGCAAACTGTAACTTGTCTGTGCCACCTAACCACAACACACCTGATATTTCAAACCCTGTTCCCTCTCCAAAGCCGGTCAGTGTCCAGGAAGAAGTTGTCGCTCAGACAGCCGGGTTCAGATGCACGTTTTGCAAAGGCAAGTTTAAGAAGCGAGAAGAGCTGGACAGGCACATAAGGATCCTACACAAGCCTTACAAGTGCACTCTGTGTGACTTTGCCGCCTCGCAGGAGGAGGAGCTGATCAGCCACGTGGAGAAGGCTCACATAACTGCAGAGTCAGCACAGGGCCAGGGCTCCAATGGGAATGGGGAGCAATCCACCAATGAGTTTCGTTGCGAGGTGTGTGGCCAAGTGTTTAGCCAAGCCTGGTTCCTAAAAGGCCACATGAGAAAGCACAAGGATTCCTTTGAACACTGCTGTCAGATCTGTGGGAGGCGATTCAAAGAGCCTTGGTTTCTTAAAAACCACATGAAAGTTCACCTGAATAAGTTATCTGTAAAGAACAAATCTCCTAATGATCCTGAAGTACCTGTCTCCATCAGCAGCATGTCCCAGGAAGCTCATGCAAATTTGTATTCAAGATACCTGTCATGTTTGCAGAGTGGGTTTCTTCCTCCGGACAAAGCGAGGCTAAGTGAACAAAATCAAATCTACAACAAAGGAGATATGCCCATGAAAGAGAAAGAAGTCTTGGGGAAGCTCCTTTCGCCCATTTCTGGCATTGGCCACAGTATTGCCGAAGGGGATAAACATTCTTTATTGGGCTGTCTCAATCTGGTGCCTCCTCTGAAATCCAGCTGTATAGAAAGGTTACAAGCTGCTGCCAAAGCAGCAGAGATGGATCCAGTAAACAGCTATCAGGCCTGGCAGCTTATGGCAAGGGGAATGGCCATGGAACATGGCTTTTTGTCTAAAGAGCAGCAGATACAGCGCAGCCACGAAGACACTTTGGCAAATGCTGGAGTTATGTTTGATAAGGAGAAGCGGGAGTATGTGTTAGTAGGAGCAGATGGCTCTAAGCAGAAAATGCCTGCTGATTTGGTTCACAGCACTAAAATGGGCAATCAGAGAGACTTGCCAAGCAAACTAGACCCTTTAGAAGGCAGCAGAGATTTTTTGTCACATGGTCTGAACCAGGGACTCGATTACAACTTACAAAGTCATGGAAACATAAAAGAAAAGCCAACCGAATGCCCGGACTGCGGAAGGGTTTTTAGAACATACCACCAAGTGGTCGTTCACTCCAGGGTCCACAAAAGAGACAGGAAAGGAGAAGATGAAATAATTCAAGGTAGCCTTGATGAGCGGCGTGGGTCTGGAAGTGATCAAGAGTCTCAGTCTGTCAGCAGGTCAACAACACCTGGGTCCTCTAACATTACTGAAGAAAGCGGAGTAGGTGGGGGTCTCTCGCAGACAGGGAGTGCTCAGGAGGACAGCCCTCATCCTTCCTCACCCTCCTCTTCAGGTATGAAAACTTCTTCTTCCCTCTCTGCACTGAAAGCTACATAGCTGTATTTGAAATCACAGCAGTAAAATAGTTTATGCATTCTCTTGTCAGGTCGTTTCCTCCAGTCCACAGGGATGTGGTATTATTTGCCAGAACATCTGTGTTTGGGTTCCCGCAATGCCTTCGAGGTTAATTCTCTGCTCACCCTTTTCCCCTCCAAGGGCAGGTTTCCAGCCTTTCAGCTGACTCCTTCCCACCGTGCAGGCTCTGAGCAGCCACCAATGGCTATGTCGCTTCCAGGGCCTCTCCCTCCAGGTTTTGGAAGGTGGTTTTCTCCTCCTCTTCTGTTCATGGTGTCTCTCTTGCAGATCCTGCCCCGTGCTCCATGTGAAAGGGTGAGGAAAGATGCCTTCTTTGAGCCATAGCTAATAAACTGCATGCTGGCTCACCTCTCTGATTGCCCTCCTTCTGACAACCATGTCAGTTCCTTAGCTATGTCCTTGTACCTGGCCACCAGACTGATCAGAAAGAGATTCAGGAATACAAATTACTAACCTTTTGACAATCTTCTAACTTATGTGCAGATTTTAACATGTATGAAGCTTCCTGCTTAGTTCACATCCATTTGAAAGTACAAGAAAAATAGAAATCAGACTGAAACATTTTAATTGTATTGTGTGTCATGTTAACTTGCTGTGTATAAAATAGCAAAGCAGATAATATTTCATTGGAGATGTCTATAAAATATTGAGCTTCCTGGTACAATTTTTAAAGTTACTAGCCTATGACTGCTGAAATAAAATCTCCAAGTAATAACAGGTAAGATTTCTGGCCTCATGTATATTTCCAAAGTCACTTACTAATGGATAGTAAATTGAAAGTTATATCTTCAGCCCTTTATAAAGCAAGCACCTCACTAATACTGTAATCATTCTGCAAGCCTAACAACAGAGGAAATCATGCCATAACAAATACTCTGTTACTAATGGCAACATTGATTTCTGCAATCAGCCATTAAGTCTAGAAAATGAAAGACAGTTTGAGGTACCTTAAGGCATTACATTGCCCACTGTTAAAGAGCTGGTAGCAGGCTGTTGAGGGTAATCCCTTTTAGCTTTCTTTCCCCCCAGTTTTGATAAATATTTTAGTATTGGAGGCAATTCACAGTTACAGTTATTAAGTATATGCCAGTTAACTTTTTTTTGTTCTTGTCATGCTCCAGTATACTCTACTTCTGAGGCCAAATTAATATAAAAATAGTGTTAGTTTGCTGGCTTATTACAAACCAGTAAAGAAATTGTTAAGACACATAAATCTGCACTCCACATTCCACAGATTCCTATAGTACTTAATGCTGTTGTTTAAATACCCATGAAACAGAGTCTACTCTTAGAGTCACAGCCTCGTTTGCAATTTATTACTGGTGAGACACATTAGAAAATTCTATGTAGGAACAAGGCTAACAGGAGAGAGCTAATTTCATACTATATATAGTTGTTGAGATTCTTTTAAGAGGATTGAAAATATGTCAGGATGAAGAAGATTATTTTTCTAACTTTCACTTTAAAAAATCCTACACATTACGGGGGGGGAAAGAAAG